TTTTTCATTCTGTCACGTGTGCCTCTTCTCCTTTAGCCCCTCCGTTTCGCGGCGGAGAGACCTCATCATCATCATACGCGCCACGCGCTTCCGCGGATGGCTGGCTGCTGGTTTGCCCGCTTCCGCGCACATGCTGTGCTGTGCTGCGCTGTGCTGATGCGTGCTGTGTGAAGCTGCTGCGCGTGCGGATGCTGTTGCCCCTGAGCGCACGCTTTCGATCAGTCGTCAGTCGTCAGTCGTGAGTCGTGAGTGGTGAGTGCAGCCTGCCTGTGACCCGGCGGCGGTGCGCTCGGGTTGACAGAAGCTGCGTTTCATTGTTGATTTGCTGGGTTCATTTGCTTTGCTCTGCTTTGCAGCTCGGATGGATGGATGCTTGCGACGTCGAAAGTGTGCAAACAGGCTGTCACTGCGGTCCATGCAGCCTCAAGCACCACCATCACAATCACGAATCACCTTTTTCACGACTGCCCTTTCCCGTCCCGCCAACGACTTTTGATTTGACGACACTCATACCATCACGATTTACGAGCGCAGTGCTGGCTTGATTGGTCGAGTCGGCCGCTCAAACACGAGCCAATTCGCATACACCACCTGTTTCGTACGGTGCATTCGCACCTTGCCCCTCCCCCAGAGCACCGTTCGTGTAACGCACTGCAGACCACCCACGCCACGATGTTTGCTCCGCAATATCCTCAAGCAGGTGTCTCTTTCCCACAGCCCACGCCCGCTTCTCCAGCACCGGCGGCGCCACCCTCCGAGTCGGGCATTGTGCGACGTCGCTCATTGAGTTGGAGAGCAGAAGCCGGTCTGCCACCGCCTCCCTCAGAGATTGACAACTATGCCGACATTTCTCGAGCCATGTACTCTCCCCACGCTCCTCCGCCTGACGGTCGACCCCTTTCCCGTTCTGCGCAGAAAACGTATGCGGATGTGGAGAGGGAGCAAGAGGCGTATGCTCGGGCGAATGGGAGTGGACAGGCAGAGACCAAGTGGCACGATGCTGCGCCTATGAATGCGGTATCGAAGCATCCCAAATTGCAGCTCAAGCTGGTTCTCGCTAGCAATGTCTTTGAAGCTGGTGGCGCGATCAGCGGTCATCTTGAGCTCACCTGCTCCACAGGTCAGAGGTTGAGGTTGGGCGAACTAGCAGTCGAGCTGGAAGCTTTCGAGGGTGAGTGTGTCACGTCGCCAGCACATGTCTCAGCCGCGGGGGGCGCACAATCGCTGCACACGACGGATCCCCCCCCCC